AAGTACACTAAGCGGAAAGTTGTGTAAAGGGATCATGCTCCCTGTATCTATAATTAACAACTTTTTAAAAAGATTATAAAAAAAAGTTTGTGCAACTTACTTTTACTCCTGGATAATTGAGACCATATGGTAACTATAGTGACTTATTCAACTCTACTGCACACGCGTAAAATATGGAGGAAGAAGCTCTAGCAATATTTTCGTTATCGGGCAGACTGAAATTATGTTTATTTTTAATTTTATTTACATAGAGTGTGCTCTTACATACGGAATTAACTGAGAGATATAAACTCCCTATTTTGGTGGTGAGGGTATCACTGCTAAAATAAGGAAAGCTGAGGATGGGAAAGTTAAAGTCATCACGATTAACAAAAAGCTTTGTTGTTAGTTAACCATTGACGGCTTTTTCATATAAAATCTCGGTGATATTTTTTTTTCATGCTCAGTTGGATATGTAGTGTAACATGTAAATAAAAATAACAATTGTTTATCAATAATATGTCGTCGGTATACTGTGTACGTGTTACTTCAGAAATCACCTAACTAAATGCAATTTACGTCCTCAGTTTTGCATACCACGTCATTCTTCAAGTTGTACACAACGTGTAGATTAGCAGGTACACGTAGGTGAGAACTTGTAACTTCTTAAAATCAAACTACAGAATATGTATTTTTAAGCGTTGAAAATTTATTCCGTTCATTAAATATATATCTTTTTTATTTCAAGTCATAGATTTATTTGATACAAATGGATTGTAAAGTGCCTTGATAAAATGACATTTTACAAGTACCGGTTCACGTGCAGTTTGTTAAACAGGACACGACGATAGTTACGCGTACGTGTAAAATAAATTCTAGGTTTTCACGTACAACTATACGTATACGGTCAAATGTATAACTTGTCCATTAATACAAAAAGGTTTGCTAATAACAGGAAGCAATTTTTGTTCATGTGATTTCCAAAAGATTGTTGGAAAGCCTGGTTTCTAAAAATGCATGCATATTGTCAATCAGCAAAACAGCATATCAACTTTAGAGTACATGAACTCAGAATGATTTTTAACAAACTGTTTTTCGAAGGAGGTAAGAAAATGAACGAGTTCCATTATTATATTAAAGAGGCAGCTGTCAATGACGTGATTAAGCAATGCCTTTATGATTATCATTGGGAATGGTTGTGTAGAGAGCTGAAAAGTTGCAAGTCTTAGGGTTATTGATTTTGGGGAGAAATTGTGTTTTTATATTTTTTTCAAAAGGTTTTTGGAACTTTTAAGTATTTACATATGATTTACATCACTGTACTCCTCTCTTCTTCACTGTTGTTAACATTTTAGTACGGATTGAAGAAAGAGGTTTGAAGATTTAACAAAACCTTCTATGATAATGTGTCGTTGGTTTTAAGGATTTTTTTTGAAGTTTTGGATTACATTATAGATATAGTAATGTTACTTGGTTCGCTTTTTAAAAAAAATATATAAGAACGATTGGACCGTTGAAAACAAATATATTTCTATGAGTATTGAAGTTGCAAAGTAAATAAAGCTGTCATAGTTACAATTGTTTACGGGTTTCAACATGGAAAACATTCCTGACTAGAGGTACTGTGAGCATGAGCTCACTAAATGATACCCCCGCCTCCCATATGGTTATAATTGGTGAAAAACTCCAGGTTTTCCTGTGGCCGGGAAACTCAAAATATGTGTCAGATCAAAAAGTAAAATAGGAGGTGCACAAGGGCAATATTTAATAAAGATTCTGTGAAAGATTCATCAAATTTCATTCAGTGTTATGAGAGGAGTTGCGGATAAGAGATGGGTACTCCAAAGCGTAACAGACGGACGGAATTAATGATTACTATATACCCTCCCGCTTTTCAAGCGGGGGGTATAAATATACTGAGGTTACTATACGGGCTTATCGCCTGGAAAACTCTGCTCATCTGAAAGATCCTTGTTTTAAATAGAGAGCACAAACTGGGCTTTCAAAAGGTGTTTTACTTTTCTGTGTTTTACACGGAATATCTCTCTAATGTTCTAAAGATATAAGAGATCTAGGTAAATCATCATCTCAGTGTTTGTTTGTGTACCAGTCCCAGCTGGCTTGTTTTGGAACCGGTACATCATATGCCTTCGTTTTCTACCTTTATCCGATGAAAAAAAGAGGACCAACATCGCTTTCACTGCACTGTAATGTTTGTGGGCGGCACATCATATTTTAAGACTTTTTCGACTCCTATTGAACCCATACTCGAAGCAAAAAACGTAAAATTATACACATTTCCGTAAGAGAAAATGGATGAATCTTAAAAATATATCGTTGAATAATGCTAATTTCTAGTTTACCACAAGTACTTTTATTGTTCTTAAAATTACACGATTTTTCCAATAAGAGTTAAGCACATACTTATAAAGTGAATTACTTTGTGTTGACAGTAAAGCCTGATTTAGTGTACATACTACACTACTACACGTTGTAAAAACCATAGTTGTTTCCCTTAGTTTTGTACAACTCCAATCAGGTGAAAATATGAGACGCAATTTTCTTGGAATCTTAGTTCAAATTTTATGTCCATGGATTAATGACAAAAAATTTAATGAACAGAAAAAAGTATTAATCTCATGACCAGACACCAAAATTTTTTTTAATCATTTCTGATTGTGTAGAATGTTTTAGCTTCACAAGATTTTCCGAACTTTTTTGTGTTTTAGATTTATATATATAGTTCAGCACCATCAACTCTAGCAACTTAACGGGAGAAATAAATTGAACTTGAAAGAATTTGGCTTAAAAAGAAAAATATTTGTACAAACAGTTAATTCGGCTTGTGTATCGATCCCTTCGACCAAAATATAAAATCCCACGTTTCATCTTTAATTTATTTGATTTGCTTTTCAATATCAGCTTAAGTATTCGTTATAAAGGTCTTCTCAATTCTACGCACACTTGGCATTAAAAAATCGGCAGGTATAGATTTTATTGGTCCCCGCCTGTTAAGACTTTCTGTAGATATACTTAATTTCTAAGCCTATAACTCATCTAAATAATACTAGCATTACTAATGACATCTTTAAAAATTTTGAAGTTTAAAAACTCTTAGGTGTTCAGATAGATCAAACTCTTCCTGTATAATTATCTTGATCAGGAAGACTCAGTTTTTCAAACCTTAACATACATGTTCAAGTTATTTAGACTTCGCAAACTTAAGAAATTTCTTCCATTAATTACGAGAAAACTTTTTTCATAATGCATATATTTTGCCTTCAATAAACTATTTAATAAACTATAGTATAATTTGGGATAATGCATCTAAAACTTGCATTGACAGAATACATAAACTTCAAAAACGTGCAGCTAGAATTTTTCTTGATGCAGCACCTGAGGAACCATCAAAACCATTGTTTATTTTTGGCATTTTGAGATGCCCCCTGAGGTAACTAGATGCTAGAAATAAAAACGAAGCGGTTTATAAAAAAACATAAACTGCCCCAAGTTATGTTATATCACATAACGTAAGATGAAATAAGCTTCATTCCTTATAATTTAATTTCAATGTAGACAATGAGACAATTTTTCCATTTTTTTCCATCGGAAAAGGGCTTCAAATATCGCATATTTTAAAAGTTAAGGTCAGGTGGATTAATGCGTTTTTGACGTTACTCATTGTGACGTACATGTAGGCAAGCTATGTTAAATAAAATAGATACAACCGTTTAACCAATCAAATGACGTTTTACAACTAAAATCAAATTATTGCGTAATATTCATATTCGTTAAATATTCATAATCATTTGCAGGTGAGAAACAAACAATATCAGTTGCAAAACAAACATAAATAAATGCTAAAAGTCCTGATTATTTGTACATTTTCTTATCTGCGTACTTTGACAAGATTTCTCTTTTTTATATTTTATGTTTTTTGGGGTCAGATTGACACTTTTGTTAACTTCTTTTCGTTAAACATGCCCATTTAACGTTATCCCTATCGGTAATTTTCACTTAAAGTATGGCTAAAATATGTTGTCTATCTAATTTATTGTTCAGTCTATGTTTTAATTATAATGAATAGACTTAACTACTCATTATGTAAACATTTGAATTTTTTTTTACAGCAATTACGGTGCCTTTAATTAAAAATAAGTTCACATTAGATTTCTCAGCTTGAAATCCGGAATAACAAAAATCAATTTTAACATTGGCCGTCGCAAACGCAATCCATATGATGTTATTAAATCGAAACATTGCTGCTTTCTAAAAAAATATATATGTGTGTTTTTATACCACCCGCTTGAAAAGCGGGAGGGTATATAGCAATCGGAATGTCCGTCGGTCCATCTGTCCGTCCGTCCGTCCGTCTGTTACGCTTTGAAGTACCCATCTCTTATCTGCAACTCCTCTCAAACCACTGAAGGAAATTCAATGAAACCTTCACAGAATCTTTATAACATATTGAAATTGTGACTTGTGTATTTTACTTTTTGATCTGACATATATTTTAGATTTTCCAGAGCAAAACATTGACACTGCCATTATATTCATATGGGAGGCAGGAGGTATCATTTAGTGAGCTCATTGTTCACAGCACCTCTAGTTTGAATCGCTTTCATTGCGGCCAACGTGAATTTTGCGATCAAAGTTATAAAAACTTCCATACTTGGAGATACATGGTATGGTTTTGAAATTTACGTAGCTTTTGTGTGACGGTTGGCGCCATTTTACATCCGTGACTTTATTTCTGATATTGTAATTGTTTATTTTTGACGAATTTATTAGGCTGATTGTGGTATCAACCGTAATTTGTTCTTTAGTAATAACATTTGCACTGTACGTTTAACTACAAAACTGCCATTAATCGTTCTCAATAGCTCACCTACATTAGTTTTTAACTGGCAACAATAAATTCAAAACAAATAAGTCAAAGGAAATAATTTATAACAAATAGGTCATAACAAGTAAGTCAATGTCCCTCCAAGGCTTCCGTAAGTTTTGGTTATTTACTTCCTGTTTAAACCGAAAATAATATTATATGACACTTATGACCAAAGATATTATTTCATAATTTTTTTATTTCACAGCCATCATTTTTTTCTAAACATTGCTGAAACAAAGGTATGTTTTCATGTTTTTTTATCTGTAGTTTTCATATTTATTTTTAACTTGTGACGTTGACAATTGATGGAAATATTGCAAAATAATGTGTGTTGGCCTCTGTCAAATTGTTACCTTGTTTACAAGGATTGTCCTAAAAATCATAATGTTTGTTACATTTATTAAGTATTAAACCAAACCTAACATTTTTGAAAGTAATACTTTATTCAATATTCAGTAATATATAGAAATTTAAGATGAAAATCTTTATAGTAAAGTATTATGACGATTTAAAGGTGTGCCGATATGGTCTGTCGTCACACACAAACAAAATGTATAGTCTTGATTATATCAGATAAGTGCATATTAAAAACACCAAGCAGATATCTTAAGTAATTTAAAGTTTGACGAAAATTGGGCAAGGTTGTATATCCAAAGACAAAAATTAGGAAAAGCTATTAATGTCTCTGGCAACACAACACAGGTAATATTACAAAAATTAAATATTTAAACTCAGATTTTAAGTTAGCAATTCAAAGTTCACAAAATATTATCTCACAAGGTAAAAGGTTTTACAATGGAAGGTGCAGAGGTCAAACACTTATTTATATGAATCTATAAATCCAAAGTTTATTTTTAAACTTTCATGAGTTATATCACTGCATATAAGGATATGTATTGAATGTTGAATGTATATGCATTCATGTAAAATATTAACTGGATTTTATTTCACTTTCCACCGGCTGCACAATCTTCATATATATAAGAAAGCAGTATAAAAAATAAATGTTTTCAGAAAAGGACACGCATCGAGGTTTTACTGAATATTTTAATGCAAGTCACCATCACGAAACGTACTTCCTAACACCCCCTTCCCCTTATTTTTAATATTAAAAACATGAAAAACAAAAAGAAAAAATGCCAATTCATTGTCACCATGACTTTCAGTACTTTTTATTCATGTCTGTTTCTACATACATGTAAATGCATAAACCTATATATGACATATATGTTAACTGAATTGTAAAAGGTACATATAGTCTGGGCATGTGAAAGGGAGACTGTGATGAGTAGATCGTACATGTATATCTACACATGCAGAAAACATGGATATATTTATAAACATAATCTAGATAACATATTTTAACCTATATTTTATATCCAAAATAAAAGGAAATTGGGCTGAACTTAATAACTTGAAATATTATTCATATTTATTGGTATACAGACATACATGTATAAATAACCTAATGGGAAAATTGTAGTAAACGAGTATGCAGTGAAAAAATATATTTATAACCATACAAATGTGAACAGGTACATGGGCATTTTGTATTCAAATTTGGTATAAAAAGAGGGCCCTGTAACAATTAACATGAAATTAACGCACCATCTTAAATATGACCTAGTTATAATGTCATTATAACAGCAATAGAATTTTCGAAATGCTGACTCTAATACGGTTCAACTTGTTTTAACAAACTGAAAAACGATACTGGATTTAGCTACTTCTGATAAAGCAAACATGATATGATAATATTTATCATAGAAATAGCTATAGAAGGTTTTAATCTACAATTTATTGCTAGTTAAGGAAACTCTTCCATTAATAATCAAAGTTGAGGAATATATCACACTTCCAACAAGAAAGTAAGTAAATGAGATTCAAAATAAAATTAAATGAAAGTGATTATTGTACGTGAAGTATGTAATATAAATGACCTGTTGGAGCAATAAAAATTTATAATCTCGAGCCATCCTTAAGGTCAAGATCTAGTAAATGACTTTAGAATAACTTTTCAGTGCTTAATCCATTATGACGTCATAATCACTTTCAACTTTCTTTTTCCCGTACTTTACGGCTCTAATAGAAATATGTAGAAAATAAAGTGTTTTCATGGAATTCAATTTGAAATCACATAAAAAGTAGTCCCGATACCTATCTTAAATTTAACATTATTTTAAAGTAGAGACTAAGAACATACAAATAACCGTTTTCAGAATAACTGTAGGCAATCTGGATACATTTTCCTTGCCTGAAATGGAAAAAACTCCCATTCTCAATACTGGTTTTCTTAATTTTTCATTGAAAATGACAGTTTAAAATATGGGTTTTCATCTTGTTTTTCTACAAATTATGCCCCGAAACACCTATTTTGACCAAGCTAATGTTATAAAGTATCAAAAAAGGAATTGATTTCTTAAATTTGAAAAATCTGTAGGCACCTTCCATTTACTAGATCTTGACCTTTTTAAAATGATATTTGGTTGTCCTCTCCCGACTAAGGTAAAATTATTGGGTCAGTAGGTAGGTGGGACATATTTTTTTCCAGAGATTTTCAACATAATTGTCGACGAGATCACAGGGAAAAAAAAACAAAAAAATATCATTTACTGGAATGTACGAAAACTTTTTTAGTCAGGCTAGTCGGGAGAGGCCAAGAAACATTTTTTTTAAAGATGGTTTCATACAGTCTGTTACCAAAACAAAAGGTCTGTAGAAGATTTTGTGTGTGTAAATTAAGGGCTGCATGTAATTTAAATACAAATGCAAAAGCATGTACCAACACAAATTCAAAAACTAGAGGTACTGAGAGCAAGGACCTTACTAAATAATACTCCCGTCTCCCATACTGTTAAAATGGAAAAGTCCATGTTTTCCTCTCGGATACCCGGAATAAGTTTCATATCCAAACGTCAAATATGAGATGCACAGCGGCATTATGATAACAATGATCTTAAGTGTTTCGGGACACTTAAAATATGTTTCCGATAAAAAATTAGGAGGAGCACATTGTCAATATGTATACATTTTTTTATTATGATCGATTAGCTAGGGTGTGTCCACGCGGTGGCTCGAACCTACAACCCTCAGATTCAAAATCCAACGCTCTTCCGACTGAGCTAGAGGGTTCACCCACTATTAACCCACTAGCTAGTGCTAGGAGCGTGGCACTACTATATACAACACATACCCATTTTAAAATCTGTTACACTATGTATGTTTTTATGCAGTGTGTAGAATTCCTTACATGTTATCATGTAGCTTTTTAGAATTCCTAGTGCTTAAGGGCGGAAATGAAATATTTCGTAGAATTCAAATAAAACAAGGGCAATGGGCGGCCAACAAAAAAAAATGCTCCAAAACAAATACAAAACCACATTTAGATATGGTTTTTAAATTAGCAATAATACTGTTCCGAGTTATAAGCATACAGGAATACTATGACCTAGGCATTAAGCACAATAATCAGCAAACAGATAAGTACATACATTGTTGAATATCAACAGATTATTTGAATCTATAAGTACGTATATATGTGAACAAAAATAAAAAAAAATAATAAAGAAAATAACCAGGAAGGAGTTAAGCCAAATTGAATTTAGAAATTATGGTTTGTGCTTTAGCATAATTATAATTTTAAAAGATTCAAAAAGGCCAAAAGATGTCGGCTAAAATGCCAGTAATTTTGAAAGGGAACTCTCATCAGGGGCTAGTCCCAAATTCCAAGCAGGTTTGTTTCGGTAATGAACTGGCCATTCATTCAAGCATGACAAACCTGTCCTCGCCATTTCCGGTAGATATGTATATATTTCCTAATGTTAACACAAGAAAGTGCATGTGTATAATATAAGTAAAATATCGTATCTAACACTTAATTAATTACGCTTGGCTAAAGTACTTACCTTTAGAAGGTATTGTTGCTTATTTTAAAACCATATCTAAAACTACTTCTTTTAAATTGGATTAAACAGTATTTTTTACAACATTTCCAGCTAAATAAAAACAAATAAGCAAATTAAGCTAAATTATTTAACTCCCCCTTCTCTTGTGTTTATGTTTAAACTAAATTTTAACACATATACACACCTACCAAATACGTATTTATTGAAACTATATTTAATCCCCCCTTCTCATTTCAATTCATATTAAATCTATAATTTATGTACAGCAATTTTCTCGCCACTCGTTCATTATGTATTTTTGTTTATATATACTGATGAGCCGTATGGCTTAAAGTTATTGAATTAAGAATTATATACAAAAACTATTGAACAACATCATTCCCCCTTTTTGTTACTATTTGCAATTTTCTCTATTCGTTATGTAAACATTTAGAACTATATACTAACTATACATCTATTAAATAAAAGAGGGATTATGCAACAAAATTATTATTATTTTTTGAAGATTTTATCCACTGGGCCATATCTTTCATAAATAATCGAGAATAAGTCAAAACATAACATCTTTGTAGTAAGTGCAATCGACCATGATTTTATCGACAATAGCTATCGATCGTGAAATTGTATATAGAGTTTTTAATTTTACTACCGTGTTGGACAGCTTGGCGACAGTCGCTTTTGCTTCATTTATTCATTTTTTAATACAACTTAAATGAAAAATATTTTCATCTGAAATATGAACACCCCAATTCTAATTGCTCAAAAGTAATGGTCAATGTTAAAATGTTTTTAAAATTTGACTAGACTCTAAAGTCAAACGGTCAAAATCGTTTTGCCACAAAAAGTAAACGCAGTACAGTAAAGGTGGAAAATGGATATATCGACTGCTTTTTAGATGAAAAGGACCTAATTTATAAGGATAGGCGTTTCTTTTTCGGACTTTATTGATATAGAACAAATGAAACGTGTTTCAAATCTACATGTTGAGAACATTTAGATATTTTTAGACTTTCAAGTGATATTGGAGTTACATGATTTTAACAAATACACTTGCAGTTCCGAGGTCACACATTAATGCCAATGTTTCAAGGGCATAACAAAGTTAAAAATCTTTGTCTAATTTGTAATTAATTTTATTATATGATTATTTATAGTCCCTATAAAATCTAACAAGTGCAAACAGTACAAAACACTACATATTTACCAGATGTGAGGCCGTATTCACAAAATGGTCAGTGCGCGTGCAGCGGCATCGTGGCGTCACAATCAACACCTAATACAGCGCTGTTAACATAGCGAAACTCGGAAAGAAAAACACGGTGATTTGGACATTTTTTTTTTATTTTCAAAGACGGTATCTCATAAATGAAAAACCGTTCACGGTAGCTCAGTCGGTAGAGCGCTCGCTCCGTGATCGGGAGGTCGTGAGTTCGTATCTCGGCCGCGACTGACCAAGTCAATAAAATGGGTAGCAACTGTTTCTTCGCCATGCGCTCGGCACTTTGTTCAAAGTGAAAGTTGAGGGTCCTTGAGATGAGACCTTAAAACCCGCGGCCCCGTGTCAGCGGCAGGCGTTGGCACGATAAAGATCCCTCACTGCTCAATGGCCCTGAGTGCCGAGTAAATGTCAAAGTTTGAAGCCCTTCACCGGCATACGGTGACGTCTCCATTTGAGTGAAAAATTCTCGAGAGGGGCGTTAAACAATATACAATCAATTAATCAATCATAAATGAAAATGGTGTGGTCATGCAGCCTTCACTGTCTTATCCATTCAAATTCGGACTATTTAATAAAACAAATATTGCCTCTTTCACTAAAAGAGTCCATAATTGTAGATGTATGTAAAATTACACGTTCCTTGTGAAAAATGCTGCGAACCTATAAAGATTTCATAATTTAATTTCCAAACTTACATTTCTAAGACAGTCACTGCAATTTGAATATTTTCTGGTCAACTACATCAAATGTTGGTATGATTAATTCATTTGCAAGATAAAACGAGGTTCGCAGCACTTTTCAAATATCTTAATGCTTTTTGAGTGGAAAAACTTGACAAGATACATTGAGGGTATGCCCTTATCAAACTGTTTTATTAGGTCCTTTCTATTACCTTTTGAATGAATTTACGTTCCATACACTAAAGTATCAGTTGTCTGCAGAATATACGAATGGTATATAACTAGAATAGTAAAATAGATATCGCATTCACAGTAACCGCCCTTTATATAACTGCAAATATTTCATTTGATAGCATATATATTTTTCATTGTTCAAAGTGTGGTTTCATAATTCTTTTACTGTGTACAATCTGCGTCCCTATTTATGAGATGATGTCACATTGACAAATGCATCGTGATCAGTTAATCGTTATATGTATATTTTGTTGTGTTAGATTAAACTGCATGTAATAGTAAGTTTTTGTATAGTCTACAGCTATCTAGTTATATAGTAAATGATTTCATTTTGTGGTATTTTAAAGACCTTCTGCTTCTGTCAAGGTCTCAAGATCGAATTTGGTGGTACCGAAAGGTATTGTCACAAGGAATATATTTTAAAAATATGCTAGCCATAATCCTACCGACTCAAACGTTATACACCAAGTTAACGTTTTTGAGGACAAAATACAAAGAAACAAAGAGACAATCTGACAGGGCACAAACAATATATCCCCCCAAAAAAGAATCTGTTTAAACAATACATGTATAAGTGGTTTTGTTTTTGTCAGCAGAAAAGTTTCCATAAATGTTGCTGGGTTGAATTTTGTTACCGTTCACGGTAGCTCAGTCGTTAGAGCAGTGAATTCGTAGCTTGGCCGCGACGTTGACTGGCCTGAGTAAAAAAAAAATGAGAGGCGACAGTTGCTGTGCACTTAAAGCAAAAGTTGCGGGACCTTCGGATAAGATCTAGACCTTAAAAACCAAGGTCCCGTGTCAGCACAGGCGTTGACACGATAAATATCTCCCAGTGCTCAATGGCCCTAAGTGCCGATTAAAGGTTTATATTTGAAGTCCTTCAAGGTTATACATGAGTGAAAAATTCTCAGATGAACGTAAAAAAACATTTAATCAAATCAATCAATCTAATCCAATTTTGTTCTTAATACCTGTTTACAGTAAAACTCGGTTTTAGCAAAATCACCGGGACCTATGAAATTTATTCGCTATATCTGTAATACACCATATCCTTATAAGAAATATATTAAACTTTAAAGCTAGGGATCCAGAATAACTTCGCTATATCCGTGAATTCGCAATATCCATGTTAGTTCTAAACGAGTTTTGCTGTATATCAGATAAACGGCTTACAATAAAAAAAAACACACACAAAAAAACAACGCAATATTTAACAATCAATTTTGGCAGTCTTTTTTAACACACCCAGTTTAGCTGCATTTAACAACCAATTAGACTGCAGACTATAATTATCATTCTGTTGATAAATTATGTTTACAGTTCTCAAATGTTTTCAAAGAAGAGTGGTCATCTTGTCAGTATTATGTCTGTCTTTATTCAGCGATGATTTAATTTTTTTTCGAGTTCAAAATAATTAACTGTTAGAAACTTACGAATCAAAGAGATCCTAGTACGTGACTAAGATCTAAGTGCTAGGTTAGCTGCTACGTTAGTAAAATATGGAAGGAAATGCAATTGTGTTCTATGACAGGAATAATCTTGTTTTTTTAAAATCAAATTTCATCATAGTTTTTGTAGCGCTTCATGCAAGTTACCGATATCAGAACTTCTCGTAAAAGGGAGAGAAATCAAAACTCAATATAAAAAACAATGAAAGAAGATACAGAAAATTGCAATTGTTTAAAATATGAACAAAGATTATATTTTGCAATAAAAAAAATAATCCCCCTACACCCCAGAAGAGATGTGTTTGTGAAACATTGATACCCCATATTGAAATATAGCGAATATTAAACTTTTTCTTAAATGCAATTTAAGTATATGGGTAATCAAAGTAAAGCCCTCATACAAGAAAAATCAATTTTTGAAGTGCAAAAAGATCGAATACCATTAATAAAAAACAAATATGGCTGTATGGCGAATTATGGCGAAAGAAAAGTTTTTGAAAGGTAGGTCAAAGTCCATAGTCAAAGGGTAAAATTTGTTGATTTCTAAGGAAAGGTCTGGTAACAAAGATTACATAAATAAAGTATGATAGCAATAGCCTATTGCTCAACAGTTTTGAGTATCAAAGTTTCTAAAAAGTAGGTCAAACTCCAAAGTCAAGGTCAAAGGGTCGAAGTTGTTGGTATCCAATAAAATTTAATATGAATAATGTTAATATTTAACAAAATTCGTGTTGGAAATGACACAAAAAATTCACAGTGAATTGAATGTCTCACATTTATTATTGAAGACGGATCGGTGATTCCGATAATTAATAGACTCATTTAACAATGATTGATTCACGGAACATACAAAGAATCCATGGGACACAAAAGAAGATTCAGAAGCATGCGTTTTCTTACACAACACCTTCAGCATTTTGCATATCTGTCTATCCATTTTCCGCCTTTTTTACAAAATTTTGCTCAAGAAATACTAACGAAATGTTTAATCCCGTTTCGTGATTTATGAATATTTGTCCATCTACTCCCACTTTGTTTGAACGAGTGTCTGTCGTTGTTTTAAGGAGAGGCTTGAATAAAATCCTTCCAAGTTCGAAACCTGCACTCAGTGCGTCGTGCCTTAAAATTTGTACATTTTCAGCTTCTTCTCTGAAACCACTTATCCAATTTTAACCAAATTTAGCATGAAGCATCTATTGGTAAATTATTAAGAAAGAGGTTTCTTCCAAAATTATAGTTTTAGGACCCCTGAGTCGGGGGTAATTTGGGTGGGATGGTAAAGTGCTTTGTAATCTGCTCTTTGGTATTACTCAACCATTTATGATGAATGAAATCAATAAAATTTCCATAATTTTGAAATTTGTGCCAACATAGACAGTGGTTCTTGTTGGGTGGGGTGCACAACTGATTATGCAGTGGAAATGCATTTTCTCTTTGTTACTCTTTTCTTCCTGATGGTATTAAGACAGCAAAATAAGTAAGCTAAGTAGCTTTTTTCTTTTAGATTTAGGTATGGGAAAGAGGATAAGCAGACTAACTTCACGTAAATTGGAAACAACGGAATCTACTCCAATTTTAAAGGAACAGTTTACAAAAATAGAAGATCAAGATGAAGGTGACATTTCAATATTTTATGAATATCCTTTTTGAAAAATAAAATAGTAGCTTTAAATAAAGAAAACCATTACTGCAAACGAAAACAGCTGCAGATCTGTAGCTTGTTGCTCTATAAATTGGTGGTGGACAACAAGAAAGCAGAATGCCACTCAATGAAAAAAATGTATATCTGTTGGGCACACAATAGTGTGGTGTGTCTCAATTTATTTTTCTGTATATATAACATGTCATCTCAAAATATAACAAACCGTGTGTACCTAAAGCTCTAGTCACACTGTCGCGATTTATCACGAATTTAAAAATAGAACAACAAATCGTAATTTATCGTAGTTGTAGTCTTACAATATTTTTCATAATTGCATTGAATTGCCATACCCAGCATTTTTTAAGCATGTTCAAAACATTAGTGGACACTGAACGATTTTTATTATCTTTAGTATTAAGAAAATTCGGCCAAACGCACTTTAAACGTAAATGGTACATAGAGCTTTGTTGTGGAAGTAGAGAGAAAAATATAAGAACACATGCCTAATTGTTTCTTTATGTACAGTATACATAGAATTTTATGAGAAACGATGCATTTTTTCCCGCAATAAACATACTCTTATTTTCAATGGTCGGAAATCAAATCTGCAGCTAAAACCAAAACTTACGGACCCCTTTTCACAAGTGCAAAATGGTTTTTGGACATTGAGAAATATATTTTCTGGTCTGGTCCGATTTATAGAGGAAAACGTTTAATAGCAAATCATTATTATTTGGTCTGTTTTTAACCTATTTCGAGTATGCTGAATCCGAAAAAAAATACATATGCTGGGCTTCATGAAAATTTTGTTTAAAAGGTAAAAATGACGATTCAAAATGGCGGACATTCATTTTTCTAATTTCTCATAATATTGTTCTAAAAGAAGTAATGATGTGTCAATATCTTACTTAGTGTAATGCAACTATTATGATAATTATAGAATGTAAACATTATTACATGTACGTAAACTCAGTTTCTTAGATCGTTTCTACACTTAATTTGAATTCTCTCTGATTTATTTGTCTGTTGTCACTATATTCTGCTTTATTCAATATTTTACATTTCCGAGTATCCAAACATTGCAGACCTGTATTTTTTCTTCTGCATATCACTATTCTAAAACTGAATGATGGTGAACCTATCACTTGCACTTTAAATTTTCGGAAAAATCTCCGCAAATGGTCCATTCATAAGGTTTCAGAAAACAACCAAGAACATTAATCCCCTCTCATTGGTCTTAGTGATATGAGAATACCAATAACGGTACATATCTGTATCATGCACTGATACTTCCTGGCATTGTGATCGTTTTGCATGCATATAAAAAGAACAGAAAGCGTAATTTCTAATGTTGATGCACTTAAATGGTCACAGTGTATTTGTTACGACTTAGAATTCGGCACTTTGAGTATCTGTAAGAAATTCAAGTGTTTCTGCATGCTTTTTAATCGCTATTTTGAGTTATTTAACACATTTCAAATTTAAACGACCAAAATTTTCTATATAAAATTATAATAAATTAGTGTTTATTTTCATTTTTATAGTTCCACAGTCCCAATAAGATATTCATGAATGTTTTCTTCTATTTAAACGACATTTAGCAATATTTTGAAAGAAAAATGAATATTTGACATTTTGATTTTACATCTCTCAGTTGCACCATCATTTAGTTGTAAAATATTGATATGCAGATGAAAAATACAAATCTGCAGTATATGAATATTTGCATTATTAAAATTCTGAACAAAGCAGAATATTGGATGAAGCATATGGAGATAACGAACAGTATTCAACATCATAGTCAGTAAAACAATATAAATAGAGCAGACCAAACACAGACCACCAAACAAAACATCAGATCAGGTGTAATAAAGGAGTGAGCATCCCCTGCTGACCGGTTAACACAAATAAATCAGAGAAAATTCGAAGTTTATAAACGACTAAATTTTCTACATAATGTCAGCTTTCTTTTATTATTGTTATAGTTGCATTATGCTAAGTGAGATATTCAAAATGAAATTCTTCCGCTTTGATCGTTTTGGAATATTCGAGTGTAAATGCAAATATTTTAATTTGTTTTCTCTATGATTACTCTTTGAAAGTTAGTTGAGCTGATTTAAAATGTTCAATTTTTCAATTTTATGTTGTGATACGATCTTTTGAAATTTTGTACATTTAACTTTTGTCTTAAATGTCTATTTTCAATTAATCATTTCCCAAGAACTAATCATATTTACATGAGATATACATGTAATTTGTGAAAATTCGTTTTTACAGATTTTGAGTCTTCAAAGGGTAAGTATAAAGGTGTATGTGGTTTTTTTTAATGTTGATTAATAAAAAGGAGGATATATGCCTCTATTTCCCATAATCATCTACAATTATCTGAATTTAAATAATAATAAAACAAATTGCTTGTCCGAACATTATATATAGATATACACAGTGTTTCATCATACTTATTTAGGAGAGAGAGAGAGAGAGAGAGAGAGAGAGAGAGAGAGAGAGAGAGAGAGAGAGGTTTTAACTAGATAAACACTTGAGATTCATGCAAGCTATTCGAAGATTTGTATGATAAATTATTACATCATTCAATGTCCCATATTGATGTAAAATACTTGTTTGCATACAACTATATCTATACTTGCTTAAATATATTCTTACTCACTCAAATGTATTAACATACGAGTGGTGATCAAAAAGTTCGCGAACTATCTCTATATCTACAAAACCACAATTCAGATTAGAATGAAATTTGTTACACACATAACCATACACAAGTTCTATAAATAGCATATGCTGAGTAAAGTTTTGCACCTTTTTGTGACGTCACATTGTGAAAATGACGTCACTATGTTGGTCACTTGTGGTTGTCTCAGTCGTATTCGTTCAACAATCAACTGTACAATTTATCGTATATCTTAGAAATCCCTTTGGGGTAGCATGAAGAAGGATATGGATATAACAAACAGTATTCAATCTCAAAGTCCATAAAATAAAACAAAATAAGAGCAGAGCAAACACGGATCCCCGAAACATCAGAGGTGGAATCAGGTGCCATGAAGGAGTGAGCATCCCCTGCTGACCGGTCACACCCGCCGTGTGCTCCTTGTCATGATTTGGAAAAAACGGAAACATCTGTCGTCAATTCAGTGTATAAATAATGGACTGACAATTGCTATGAAAAACGTCAGTCAGCATTTGACTCAATGAAAAATTGTATATTTGCTGACAAGGTCATTGTATCGACCATAGAACTTACGAAATGATGAATTTAAACGAGACTGCTGATATTCTTGTTTCGTCAACTTGTTAGTCATTAACCTACTCTGCTCCTGTGTATCGAATCAACTGAGATATATACACCCCGTATACAGGTAATGAAGATATATTGCTGCATAAGTAAGGGAAGTTGACGATAAAAAAGTTAGAGTCATCTCACTTATCATATAGCTTGGTTGTTAGATTACCATTAATGTTCCTTTCAAGTAAAGGTACATTATTAAATCTGGAATTTTTCCATAAATTCCAAGGACTGGAAATGAAAGGATCGCATGGATACAGATGATCCAGGTGGTTGTCGGGGGGGGGGGGTTATGCCAAACCAGGTTTTATAGAAAATAAACTTGTTTTCCATTTTTGATAAAAGTATCATCTCCTGTAATCATTTCTTCAAGAAATGTCAAACACGTTAGTTACTACGATATAGCATAGTTTTTGTGTAATCTGTTGTCAAGATGAATGTATCTCTCTTTTTTTTAATGACAAATATTCTTTCTATTCATCTTGAGAACAGTTAACATAAAAAATATTCCTTAGCCTAGCAATTAATGTTTTCAACATTTTGTAAACATTTTTGTGATAATAAAACATGTACCCATTTCTGATTATGAATGAAATAGTCTATTTATGTATATCTTTATAAAGTATAAGATTTTTTTTAGAAATGATTTTGTATATACATGCATACTCATAAAGAATTACTCAAAATGAAAAAGAAATCCGGTAAGTTTCCAAATGTATCTTACTAAAGGTCTGAGCCTAAAAAATTGTGGCAACCACTCAAGAACATAGGATAAAAATATAAACAAAAAAAAAGTAGTGAAATATTGTTTTAAACATAGATGGTATAGTACAACATGAAGGTAAAACTTTAGCAGATTGTTTAACTGTTTTTTTTTTTTCAAAACTATTGTTTTAAAACTTGTAAGCAGGTTACTTAGTCCTTCGTATGTTTTCTGTCACCTCAAGGGCTTTTAGACAGTTTTAAGAAGATTGAAACATAGAAAACAAAACTTTTGTACTTCAACCTGTGTCTGAAGATTTTATATACAAAGAACTAAAAAGTTTGAATGTTAAAAAAAGTGCTGGTTTAGATAATATACCAGCAAGGTTTTAAAAAGATGGTGCTTTTTATATTAAAGAACTTATAATGTCCGTTGTAAACAAATATATAACCACCGGTACTGTACCAGATGATTTTAAAATTGCAAGAGTCAAACCTCTGTTCAAGAAGGTAAATTCCCTTATAGTGGGAAATTATAGGCCAGTCAGTATATTATGTATAGTATCAAAGAGTTTGGAAAAATGTGTCCATGTTCAACTTTTAGATTTTTTACACAATAATCACTTGTTTTATTCTTACCAATCAGGTTTTAGAAACAAATTTTCAACAGATACTTGTTTAATACATACATGTATGTTAGATTTTATCAAAAGTAATACATCCAAAGGGCTTTTTACAGGTTTGGTTATGTTCGATTTTCGAAAAGCTTTTGACACTGTCGACCATACAATTTTATGTGATAATTTATAAGTTTTAGGAGTTTTATCCACTGAGTGGTTTAAACTTTATCTGTCTTGTAGACAACAACAAGTTCATGTCAACAATACTTCATCAGACTGTAAAACTGTAAATTGTGGTGTTCCTCAAGGCAGCATCTTTTTTTTTAAATATATGTCAACGATATGACTGTCAGTATTAATGATGACTTAGATTAATTTTATATGCGGATGGCAGTAAAACTTTTTATGCTCACAGATATCCTGTTATTATTGCTAAAAAAAACTGGGCATTGTTCTTGACAAATGTTCTTCTTGGTTTGTTGACAATAGATTGTCATTCCATCTAGGTAAGACAGAATCTATTTTATTTGGTCCTCCAAGAAAACTTTTAAAAATCACAGATTTTAAAATTGTGTGTAATGGTCACATTATTAAAGGTTCGGACAGTGTTAAGTATTTAGGAATCTGTATTAACAAGTTTCTTTCATGTGAAAATATTGTTTTAAGTATCATACAAATAGTTAATGCTAGACTTTAGTTTTTATATAGAAATGCATCCTGTCTGATTACAAAGTCTAGAATGACCCTATGTTCTGCCTTGATACAGTGTTATTTAGACTATGCCTGTTACTCTTGGTATTGTGGAATAAACAAGCAACTTAAACACAGATTACAAGTAACCCAGAACAAAATAGTAAGGTTCATTTTAAACCTTAGTCCTAGAGAGAGCATTTCTAACAATATTTTAAACTCCCTAAATATGTAAAGAGTGGATGATAGAGCTAAACAATTAAGATCAAATCATGTTTTTAACATATATCATGGTAATGCACCAGCTTATCTCCATGATCATTTTGTATTCAATAAGAATATCATAAGAAGTGCAACAAATAAGAATTTAATTATATCAAAGATATTAGGGAAAGAGTCTTCATGTTTTTTATATAATGCTATTAAAGATTGGAAAACTTTGCCACTGGAGATCAAAGATGTGAAAACAGAACAAAGTTTTAAGAAAACTGTAAGATCTTTTTTTTCTACAAATGCTAGTGTAACTACATAAAAAGCTTGTCTAATTTTATAGTTTATTTACTATTTTAGTATTATAAGCATTTTGTGATAATTATAAAGATTAAAATGTGCCACTGTAAACATGTCATTTTTCAAAGCATTATACAGTGGACCCTCATTTATCCGGACACTTTGGTTCCCAGTCAATTTGTCCGGATATGTGAAGCATCCGGATATCTGAATCACCAGTTAAACAAGATAGAATAACATTTAAAAATTTCGTTCCGGTGAAAAATCGTCCGGATACTGAAGCATCCGGATATCTGGCGTCCGGATATCTGAAGGTCCACTGTACTATACTTTTAAAAGTACCTGCCTAAATTGCAATGTTTATGTAATTTTGTTATTTTTGATTACTAAAAAGGCTGTTATTTGAAGAACACATTGGAAATAAGCTTTTTTAATGAGGCTTTTATGGGCTATCCTTAGGTAATATCTATTATCTGTATGTCATGCAATTTATTTGATAATAATTACATGTATATGTTAAATTACATTTTCTCTAAGTAGCATAGTGCTGAAATAATGTGTGTGTTTTTTCTAGTAGTAAGATAGTCTGTAATGTTTTAATATATGAACCATGACATTCTGTGATATTTTTACCTGAATAAAATGAAATTGAAAAAATTGTAATTAAACCTGAATCTCAGTTCCATTAAATACCAAATTGTAGCAACCCAATGCTCTTTAAAAAATTATTCTAACCTATGTACAAATGAATGACCAATAACTAGAATGCGATGAACCATGATTATGAATTGCTAAAATGTATTCAGACAGATAGAGAAATGATATAAATGACCTGTACCTTCTGAGCTGTTTCTAAATAATACTTAAGAATTGAAGAAATACTGGTATCGCGAAAATTGAATTCTTGTAAATATTTAGGTGCGTCCAGCAGCTAAATAAACAAAGAAGTAAATAATTGAGATTCTTCTGATCAAGATGATATTTCAGTATAGGTAAACTTCGATCTGATTGGATAATAAGCGTTTTTGATTAACCATTGCTATTGCATACACAGTTTCTCTGCCATGCCAGGTTGCAAATTCCAGCTGTTGACTTGTGTAATTATCTACCTTTTTTTTCTTTCAGTTTCATGTTTTCCATGTCGTAAGTATAAATATTATATCTTATTTTTTATATGAAAAAAATTATACCTTTTCAATAAGTACTTAATATATATTTTAAAATCAAATTCTATGAATAATAACATTCAGAAACACTCTTCTCACTATACAAAATGTTGCTTGAAAGATTTTCCAAAAGAAATGTATTTTATGAGTATAATACAAACAATTAAAACATAGTTTGCAGGGCAAAATTAGACATAAAAGCTCAACCTGGCAAATTTTGAAAGAGATAATAAACATGTATGTGATTAAAAATTATCTCTCTTGTCGGAGTATCGAAGGACCTTTGAATAACAAGGTGTTCGCTGTTTCGACAAAAGTATATATAACCATGCATAAAGTGCTAAATATTATTATAATTATGAACACATGATAGGATCATTTAATTATCAAATACCTGTTGTAACACTTAATTTTACTGTAGACTCAGTGCAATCACGTGACGTCGTGATCCTACTTTCCGAACCAACATACTGTGGTTTTCTGAATTCATATAACACTGTATAACCATTCTTTGAAACTGATAACGTAGTACGCAAAAACATGACGTTATTTTTCTTGCGCGTTAAAAATTCCATTGCTATTTTGCATTGTTTTATCGACGAATATTATACGATTGATCTCGAAAGTTTTATTTACTATATTTAGCTAGTTATAAGGAGGTATATAAAAAAATCATTATTTTAACAGTAACGTGATCCGAAAAGCCGTATCACGTCTCGCTGACAGGCGCGGATCATCAGATCAAATTCAACTCTTTGCTTCTGATCTGATGATCTGCGCCTGTCAACTCGACTTGATACGTCCTTTGGATCAAGTTACTGTTATAATAATATATATGTATCAAGTGTTCTTTATCTAGGCTTTATAGCTATAGTCCTCGGAACATGTACAAAAATATTTGAAGGATTGTCCCTAATTTTGCTACGAAATTAAGGGTGTGACAGGATGATATCTAGTATCATTACTCTGACTTAGATTTGCTGCATCATTTCCTTAGTTCACATATCGTGACTCTAAAAACTGAACAAGTTGGATTCAATGTAAATTACCACTAAAAAATTAGCACTTGCTTTATTACCTTCATTGTAAGTTTTGTTGAAGTTTTATGAGAATTTTTATGACATCGTCAATCAAGCCGTATATAAAACAATGTTTGCTTGCCCTTTGGTCGGTAGGAAGTTGGGGAGATTTTTATTTCACGTCTTTGGTGACATGAAGAATAAAATAAAACAATACCCTGTCCTGGAATGTAAAAAAACAGTATTAAGCGGGCCATTTTTGTCAATTGATCGAAAGAGTACAGGCAACATTTTTAAAAGATGTTCTGGCATTGAATTAAAAAAAAGAAGGAACTAATGAATTAGCTATCTAGTAAGGGATATAATTTTCTTTCGAGGATTGAGAATTTCTTTGAACTCACCACTGTGGAGAGGCATTAAAAATTTGCTTGCTATGTTCATATCTGCTACTTTTGATATAAATATAAAGCTCGTAGCATTGTGAAGAGTTATGTGTTTAAACACGTTATTGTCTGGAGTTGAAGCTTTAATAACAATACATAATATTTTGAATATCCATTTCAGTTCCCCGGCCTTCACGATGTAAGTATCAGTTGATTAAGCTTATTTACTATGAATTTACTATGAATTTTTAATGTAAGTGTTAATTGCTGATTTATCTTCATTTCACATGTTAACGAAATACGTAGCATGCTTTACTTATATTCCTCACATCTTAGTTCATTATATGATTTCAATTACTTTCCCAATTTATATTTTCTGTGGCCTTTTTATATATAAAAAGCGTCGGAATATATTTTAAAGATATTCTCTATTCATGCATGATAATTATTTTTCATGTATAAATAGAACGATTTTTTTTTTTCAATTTGAGAAAGTGGCATGTGTATTTTGTTTAGACAGAAGCTTTTGAGGTCGTTACTAATCACAAAATTTAATTTCCTGAATAAAATAGGTACACAAAAGACAACAAAGACCTCAAAGGACTATTTATGATAATAAAAAAAATGGCCCCGAAAAATCTTAATTTTAGAATGATATTCAGTTATATTCGACTGTTTACACTATTTTCTAAAGGAGAATAAGCAAAGAAAAAAGTTATTTCGAGGCTTTTCTGCATAAATCATAGAAAAGTAATATAAAAATGACGAAATTTTATTTAGATTAATTATCATATTTATCTATTCAATTTATATTCACACTTTACAATTTACAGAATTATTATGCAACATACACTTAATGTTCACGTCATAGAAAAATGATGTACCATTTACCCGCAAGCATTTTATAGCTTTGTACAAGTTTCTAAAGTTTAGCGTAAGAAGGAAATGGAGATAAAGAACAGTATTCAATATATCAAAGTTCAAAAAAACAATACAAATAGGAGCAGAGCAAACACGGACCTCCGAAACATCAGAGGTAAGATCAGGTGCCATGGATGAATGAACATACCCTGCTGACAGGTCACACCCGCAGTGTGCTCATTGTCATGATCGTGAAATAACGGAAAAATCCGTCGTCAATTCAGTGTATAAATAATGGACTAACAATTGATATGAAAAACGTCAGTCAGCATGTGACTCAATGATAAATTGTATTTGGTGACAAGGTCATTTTATCGACCATAGAACTTACGAAATGAAGACTTTAAACGAGACTGCTGCTATTCTTGTTTCATCAACTTGCTTTTCATTAATCTACCTCGATTAAGAAATTGTTCATACGTAGAGCATGCTCTTGCGTATCGAATCAACTGTGATATATACACTCTGTAAATAATATAATGGCAAAATATTCAGATAAGAAAATAACTTTTCCTATTTTAACAGAATTAAGCAAGTATAGAAATGAGGAATTAGCAATAAATGGAAGAGTAAATAAACTTTTTAAAGTGCGAAATACATGCGAGGTACATGTGTGGTTTTGCGTTAGAAAAAGTAAATGGTATTTGTTAAAATGCGTGACTGCGGGGAAGGGAATGAAAGCAAATTTTCATAATTTTTTAAAGAACAGAAAATTTTCAGAACACAATACAAACCAAATTGTACCTTCTTCTTTCACTAAATAAAACCTTGAACCAGAGTTTTTAGTTTCTATACAATTGGGTTATTCCAAAAGTAGCCTTCCTGTTTCTAAATACACTGTAGCAAAGTTTTTTTCCTTACACTTAAAACAGATTTCATGAAAACCAACTGTTCTTTCTCCAAAATGAAGAAAAAATATTTTGAGCATGTTCAGCATTTCTTATTTTGTGCTATATTTGTTTTTATTTGGAAGAAAAATATAAGGTTTACATGTGTGTTGAAATTAAAGATAAAGGTATTGTACTCTGAAGCATTTTTAAATTTCGTATATGACAAAATGTTGGAGAGTTATGTCGATTCATTAAGTACACTACATAAAGCCAAACCCGTACTTTGATAATTGCTTACTAATATGTACAAGAGCATTATGCTTGAATAAAGTTGTAATACCTAATTCCGAAAACATTAAAATATTAATGAATTCGCTTATTTGCAATATTTTGAATTTGGTTCATTGGTCCAAAAATTGAGGGGAACTGTATATACATATGAAATTAACGTGGAAGGAAGAAAGGGTACACACAACAGGAGTACCATCAGAACATGTCGATTTTGGTACAAAAGTAGAAATACCGGTACTCGAGTGTACTTAAGAATTCAAAAATTATGATTAGACCTATTTCGTATCATGAAATGCTTACATGTGAATTTACTATGTCGATTCCTTTGTTCAAAGTTGTGACACAAAATACTGCACAGTTTGATTCAATGAAGGATGTAAATCATAACTAAAAAAAAGTTAAAACACTTGCTCCAATAGCTAAATGGGGATTTTTTCATCTTTAAGGGATTTCTCACGGCATCCTCAATTGTACTGAGATTTTTAGAAATAACAGGAACGAAAGAATAAGCTAACTAGTAATTATAAGGGCCATCATTTTCTTACGGGAATTAAGTCATCATTGTACAGTGGATTTACATCTTTTGGTTAATTAGTTCATACTTCCTGACCTTGATCTACATAAATATTTTGTAGTGTAAAAGTCAATGATATGCACAAAACATGTTGTCGTCTGTAAATGTAAAATGTGTAAGTTCTCCTTGTATCTCTTCCTTCAAAATACAACATCTATCGTAATTTATTTATTCAATTGCTCCAAAAAAGCTTTGTACATCCAAATGCATTATGGCAATGCTTTAATTATTCAACATTATATATTTAATATCTACATGTTTTTCAGTTCTCTGGCTTTCACAATGTGTAGTTGTGGAAAAAACCTTATTTACTAAGGAATGTAAAATGTAAATTGCTGATTCTCTCTACGTTTTTATGTCACGGAAATAGAGAGCTTGCTTTACCTATTTACATAACATCTAACTTTTTAAAAGAATTATAATAAGGTTCCCCAATTTATACAGTACCCGCATCGTTATTCTTTACAGGATACACGATACGATAGGATACACGCACCACAAGATGAAACACACCCTTTAAGCTTGGTTTAATGATGGCTTATAGATCCTTAATGTTGGTTTAATGGTTGTCTTTAAGTCACCATTAAGTCACCATAAAGCGACTTTAAGTAACATTTACACCACCATTTAGTTACCATTAAGCCATCTCAAGTCCCTAATGAGTGCTTAAATATAATTTAATGGTAGCTTAATGGTTGCTTAATTGTGGCTAACAAGTCCTTAATGGTAGCTTTTAGACCACCATTAAGTCACCAATAAGCTACCGTTAAGCTAGACTTACAGGTGCTTAATGTCCAAACTCCATAAAGCTAGCATTAAGCTACCATTAAACCACCATTAGGCCACCATTACGCAGTCGATATTACTGTTTTTATGGGTGAAAAATTATTATATTAGTGAAATGTCATCACAAATTATAAATGTCGAGTTCACACATATCCTGATTTGGTAAAAATAAG